AGCACAGCAAGATCAGTTGACAATTGTGTAGCCACGAGCTAAGCTTGAAATAAAGCTGATCTCACTACTGTCTTTATCCTCCCATGTTTGGCTTTGCAAACTCTTCTTTCGATCCAAAACATTGAGGATGTTGATCCTCAGATCCCCAATTCCTGTTCTACTATTATATTGTCTGATCCTGATCAGTGCTTATCTCTTTCACACAGACGTTCTGACCAGTTCGCAGAGACAAGGCTGAAGGAGTGTCTGGAGTCTTGAATAAAATGAAGCATGTTATGACAACTATACCAAACTGTTTCACACCCTGCAAAGCCAGGCTTGTCGCTTGTCTATGAAGTGTGGAACTGGGGTTTGCAAGATTATGAAGTGTCTTACACCAGTGAAAAAGAACAAACAAGTGTTGTTGTTTTGTTTTGCTTTGTTTTGTTTTTACCCCACTGATCTCAAATGCTAATTCTCCTGACAGATTGCCATACATTTCTAGCGTTAACAATAGGGAGAATTGAATTCTTTGTCACGACATCGTTTTGGAAGTAGTCTGTGAATGTATTCTTTCTACAGCCTGCACTGCTCAGTTTCAGGGTTTGAAACAGTTTTCCACTTTAAAGTCGGTGAATAACGGGAAAATATTCACTCAAAGCTGTCGAACTCCACTGGGGTAAATAATTGTTTCAGAATTAGCCGACATCGTTTACAGTTGTTACATACTTAAAGTAGTTATAGCATTTATATTATTTGAATAATAAAATATGTTTGCGAATAACAATTTGTTACTGCCTGTGATAGTTGTCGAATTTTCTTGATCCAGCTTACGTGAAATGGTTTTCTTTAACTCGGACTTAATCACAGTGTTTTATTCCTTTTCAGCCAGTCCCGTAAAATCCCCCGCCCATGCTCCCACGCAACCACCCACGCGGGCTCGCCCGCCGTTTCCTAAACAAGGAACTCTTTGATGTCGCTGTTCCAACCAGTTTTGTAAAAGGGAGTCAAATTAGTTTCATTACCTTTGTACAGTTGAGCTAATATCTTAGTATGCAAATTAAGTCACCTAAATATAACTTTAAGCTGTTATCCAGGTATGGCCTCCACCCTACATACACTCGGCTGGTATTGATTACAAGTAGAAAACACAGAAGTGACATTTTTAAGTGAGCATTTGTAAAACTTCGCTTCACTCAGATGAGTTCAGCTTGAAGTCAGTGTAGATACCCTGCGAGCAGTTCGGCGTAGGAGAAACCAATTCCCTGCAGTGTTCGGTGTATAATGAACAACAACAAATGGCTTTTGTGGTGGTGAATGAATTCAGAATTACAATGTAAATTGTAGACATAAAGGGATTACTTAATTCGTCAGTTAATTCAAGACAAATTTTGATTCTAATAAGACCTCACTGACAGGTTTGAATATCGACCTCAAAAGAATCTGACAAAACAGACCTGGTGTAAAACTGTAGTATGGAGACATGAAGTTTGTTGTTTTAATACAATTGTTGCTTATTCAATATGGCTGCTTAGTATTCCTTTTTTGCGACAGAACCAAATCACCCGCGTCAACTTGACGCAGATACATGCAAACATTTCGAAAAAAATATTGCTNAAAGGGAGTCAAATTAGTTTCATTACCTTTGTACAGTTGAGCTAATATCTTAGTATGCAAATTAAGTCACCTAAATATAACTTTAAGCTGTTATCCAGGTATGGCCTCCACCCTACATACACTCGGCTGGTATTGATTACAAGTAGAAAACACAGAAATGACATTTTTAAGTGAGCATTTGTAAAACTTCGCTTCACTCAGATGAGTTCAGCTTGAAGTCAGTGTATATACCCTGCGAGCAGTTCGGCGTAGGAGAAACCAACTCCCCGCAGGGTTCGGTGTATAATGAACAACAACAAATGGCGTTTGTGGTAGTGAATGAATTAAGAATTACAATGCAAATTGTAAACATAAAGGGATTACTTAATTCGTCAGTTAATTCAAGACAAATTTTGATTCTAATAAGGCTTCACTGACAGGTTTGAATATCGACCTCAAAAGAATCTGACAAAACAGACCTGGTGTAAAACTGTATTATGGAGACATGAAGTTTGTATTTTTAATACAATTGTTGCTTATTCAATATGGCTGCTTAGTATTCCTTTTTTGCGACAGAACCAAATCACCCGCATCAACTTGACGCAGATATTTCGAAATTTCGTGCAAATATTTCGAAAGAAATATTGCTTGTTTATCATGCCTTGGGTCCAAACAATGGAAGAGAGCGCTGAACCGTTCCTGTCAATTCAAAATCGCGAGGCGTATAAAACGCCCTTTTGCACAAATAGTGCTTTGCTTGGAGATAATGTTCTCTTACTATGAATTTCGACTGTCGGTTCGTGTTTATCTTGGTACGTGCCAAGAATCTTCGAATTCTTTATGGCAATTAATTGACCTTAAAGTTTATAATAATGCTTAATCTTCAAATTAATGATAATTTAAAAACGCTTCCATCAGTTTTAGGAAGAGTTCAAGACTTCAAGGTTCTTACAAAATTTAAACTAAAAGCAATTTTCCGAAGCGAAGGTTTTAGCGATGAAGATAAAATTTTCATTCAAATGGCCGAATTTCCCTGACGGAGTAGTAACGTTAGAAGCATTAAAATGCTCCTAACAGTTAAAATTCTAACAGTTAAAATCATTAGAATGCTTGTAATGTTACTGTTAGGTGGGAGATAACCATCTCACAATAAAACTACTCAGTCAGACCGGTGTCAACGTGGCTAGAACAGTGGAACTAATTTCAAAGAAGATATGGGAATTAAAGTAAATTCTCCCAACGCGTTACTAATAGTTTCATAAGGGAAACATCAGGGAGAATCTCGGCGTTGACGTTACGGTTTGTAGGTAATTAAGTGAACGCTTCTTAAAAGGCACTTGACCTAATCAGGACATAAGTGACCGCACTCGATTGACTTTATTCAAAAATCATCAAAATTGTTTATCACGATCCGTTTTGCATATGTTATGTGGAGTGTTCAAACTCCCGCGAAAAAGAATAATTATGCTGAATTACCAGCTGATTATTTTGGCGCCAAGAGTTAATCCCTTTATTGAAAGCTGGTTATGTTTCCCTGTGAAAAGGAGTTAAATCATTGAGTACAAGATCGAATAAAAGTGATCAGCTCCAAAACAGAAAATTGTCAAGGAGGGTTGAAAGAACTTGGTTGTTTTAACATTCAGCTCTAAGGTATTAGGCAAAGACAGTCTGCCCTTTCGATGCAAGTAAATGGCCATGCTCTTCAAGTCTCGCTTCGTTGTAAATTCGTTCTCACGGCCCGAGTTAAAAGACAGAGATTTCATACTCGAATGAATCGATCGGTCGTCAGACACAATAGATAGCGATAAAATCTCCCATTTCTTTGAACCGTTGACTGCTCTAATATATGTGATGAACATGATGCCTCCCTGTTTTCAAAGCCTGTCAAACTCTTTTGCATCAGTGACAAAGGGCTCACTAATCTGAATTAAAGATATATTGACAATAATGCTTTTAACTGTTTTAGTCCATCTTAAAGATGTCAATAGAGAAATTTCCATGATTTTCCAACGTGTTGTCGTGAACACATTCACAAGGAGAAGAAATAAAATAATCTGAAACCCTATTGTAGACTAATTGTAAATAAATCTAGCTTCACGAAGTAAACTGGATCATAAATGCAATTTTTCGTCCCCTGTTTTTTAATCACGGGCACATTTACTGTTAAATTGTGTGTCTGCTAAATTAAGAATAAAATTAGTCTTGGAGTTATGCACATAACTTATACCTTCTCTTTTAGAGATTCATCTCCAACGAGCTCGAGGCAAGATAAATTGTCATGAAGTTTCCTTTTTAGTTCTAACTTTTGATTAACTTGGCTCTTATACCTTTTTTCTGTTAATCCTGAATTTGCCCTTTTTTCCTAAACGAGAACAAGTTGGAACACGCCGCCCGTGCCTCAGTGTTGGGTAAAGAGTAAATGTGCTTTGTTAGTGACGCCAGACCGAACCCATTGGAATCATTGAGGCACAGAAAATGTGAATTCTTTGTTCAGCCTGAGTCTCTAATCTAAACAGGGAACAAGGAAGGGGTAAATATTCCGTAAGCAATGATTGACCTCCACAAGGCTGAGTTAGCTGGACCGTGACGGCCCTCTTAAAGTGTAAACTTATTTAATTATTGAAAAAGTCGTTATCAATGCAAATCTATTTTAATTTGAATAATTTCAACATAATTTTGAAACATTTGTTGAGCTTGCAACAGCTTCTGATGGCTTTTAAACTCAGGTTCTCAGCTAAAAACCAAGAAAAGTTTGCATAAAACGACCAGCCGTGGAAAATTTGCACGTTTCTTGGCCCAAAAGGACTGAGCCCTGGGAAGTGTATCACGTGATCGAGCACTGGCGCGAAACTTGAAAGCGCGCGCTTTTACATTGTCAATTGAAGAGCGAAGGATTGGGTGAATCGAAAGAAACCAGTTTACTGCTCAGATTTTAAGCTGTTTTAGAACATCTAGCCTTCGATCTCTAGGAAGAAGCTACTAGCCGTATTCTGCAACTGTCCCTTCATACGTTTACCAGCTTTTGTTGGAACTTGCGATCTATTTTAAACAACGAAAGAGACCGGAGTTCGTAATTCCTGTGTTGATCAATATGGCGTCCACGAGAAGATGTTCATTCATGGGTCGAGGAAGGCCGCCGTTGAGTGCTCATAGCCATCAAGTCAATTCAGTTAGCAGGAAAATTTTGGACGCTGATAGCTTTTTGTCGGACCCTATCAAGGCGAAAGCACCACTGTCGCCCTCATTCAAAAGCTCAAAAACTGCGCTTTGCACTCCCGATGTTTACTCGAAAGAACGATCAGTCTGCCCAAGTCCCAGACCTCAGGTATGTCAATAGTTCCTATGTTCGTTTCCATATTTCTAGCGCTCAATGTATTCTGATCGACCCTTAGCATAACCCCCTGCCCTGAATTACTACATTTAAAACACAGTTGTTCATTTATTTAGGTAAAACGTCGACTCGACCTGGACGAATCTTCGACTAGAGTGCGACACTCATTCAGAACACCAAAGACAAAGAGTTATGCAAGAAGGAAAATGAGGAGAGATGTACAGCCTTACCCAAAATGTAATTAATATTTTCCTTGTTCACGACTAACACTTTTAAGGCCCTACGTGAAGTCAGGTTTAGAAACTCATAAAATGTTAAGCCCAGGTAGGCTTTTCAAAGATTCTACAACACGTGTTTATTTCCGGGAAAGCTCCGTTTTGGACAAAGAAGTTAAGCCCGTGAGCAGAAATGTTTTACATAAAAGAAGCAATTGTTGACTCAAGCTACCGCTCAAGATACTCTTTATAGCATTATATATTTTGAGAAGAGTTTTGCGTTTTTAATTATGTCGAAAACATGTCGAAATCTGTGCGATTTTTGTCGAACAGACTGTCTTTCATCATAGGGACAAAAGGATGCAAATTTTCATTATTTTGCAGTATGCAAATTGTTTATTGTAGCTGTCAAAAGTTTTCCACTTCACTTGCGTTTAGAAATAATTTAAAATTTTTTCAAGGAGAAGATCGTAGTCATACACAGGTAATTGATAAATGCTGTGAGCTACACGCTCAGATAACATGCTTTATCTAAAGGGAAACTACATGAAAAAGTCCTAAATTTAGCAAGTTAAGATGCTTCCACGCGCTTCCCTCGCATGCAGCGAAAACACCTAAACACTGAGTTTTCCAGTTGACTAATTATCCTCAAATTAACCTTTGCACTTATTTATTTATCGATCTGCCAGTTTTTAAGCTGTAAAATGCGACTGACGTGGTTTTACCATAGGTGAATAGCATTGAAGTCATACCTGCATGTATGTATTTAAGTAACACTTATTTACTTTTTCTTTCATAGTGTTTGTGAAATCCCCCATAGAAAAAACCAGGTATGATACATCTCTTGGAATTTTGACCAAGAAATTTGTGGGGCTTTTGAGGAGTTCAGAAGATGGTGTGGTGGATCTGAATCAAGCTGCTGATCTTTTGGAAGTTCAAAAGCGAAGAATCTATGACATTACCAATGTCCTAGAGGGTGTTGGATTAATCAAAAAGAAATCCAAGAACAACATTGAATGGAGGTCAGTGATCTGGAACAAATTTTCTTTTGTAATGTTCCATTCACTCCTACCAGTTTTGTTTTGCTCAGTATTGATAAGTTTATTTATTTGCTATGTGTTTACTCTTTGTTCTGTTATACTAGTTTTCCTTTTTATCCTAAAATAAATGTATCTAATTAAAGGGCATATAATTATTTTACTAGAATTTGCCTCTTTCACTGTCATTTCACTGCACCTAATTTGGACAATATTACAGTCATACCATCAAGTGGAGAATTACAAAATGCAAATAGGAGGGAGGAGGCATTCTATTGTAAGGTGTGGCCATTCAAAGAATACGACAAGGCAATATTACTTTTAAGTGATACCCCATGGTTGCATGACATTTTGCGATAAGTTAATTTCAAAATCTCCATTGGTCAGCTGAATCTATTCAACATTACTGTACTGTAGCTGTCAAACTAATTAATCCAAAACAGTATCTCAGTTAACCGGCATGAAACCAAATGAGTTACAACTTCCAAGCTATTATCTTAAAATACCAATAAATGTTTTCTTTAATACAATATCACTTTCAGAGGGACTTGCTACACCGATAGCTCTTGTCGAATGAAAGGAATGGAGTCAATTTCAGCACAGATCATGGATCTTCACACGGATGTTGCTGATCTTGATGCTAAAGAGTGTTTCCTTGACAGGATGATCGAAGGCTGCCGTGCAGAACTCAAAAACCTCACCGAGGACTCAGAAGTCGCCAAATATCCTTTCAGTCTTTTCCATTTGTTCATTTTGTGTTAGCTAAGGTTTGCTCTGTTTGATTTGTCTGGCCTCAAGAGTGGTACGGTGGCCAAGTAGTTCAATGATGTAGACCAGATTTAAGCAGATGAGTTTCTGGGCATCCTGTGGATGCCCACTTTTGAAAGTACATGTACAGCAGATTGTGTTCTTGTTCATATGTTGCTATGTGAATTATTTGTTTGAGCAGACCCTTCGCTTATTTTGGATGCCCAGTTTTCAAATCCTGGCTAAATGCCTGATGTAGACTCGGCATGCAGAGAAAGTTGTCCAATAGCACAACGCTAGTGGATTTTGCAGTTGGGCTAGTGGATAGTGTCCCCTACTTACCTGACGGGTGACTGAAGTTTCCTCTCCTGTTAACTGAAAAATTCAATTAACAGGAGTATTGTGTGAGATGATATTTTTATTCCTTTCTTTTTTTTATTTCTTTTTTTTTGCGGGGAGGGAGGGGGGGTTGGGGGGCTAGAGAGAATGGCTTTTGGGCCACAATGAAGTACATCATACAGCATTCTCTCAGATCACCTGAAGGGCAAGCCTGAAAGTTTTTTTTTCTGTACCCTGGGACTAGCCCTGGCCTACTCAGGACGGCTTGGTCATTTAAATAAATGCCCTTGAGTGTATCAACACCTAGGAAAAAGAATATTTTGGCACTATTATATGTGGCAATGAAAGGTCAGTGATCAGCAAAATTCTGAGGAGAAACCGGGGAAAGGACTGGCATCCACTCCAGTGAGAGGAAGGCAAAGGGAGCAGTGGTTGGCACACTGTAGTTCCAGCCACTGTATGTTTCCTCCTCGTGAAATTATTTACATGTTAACTTTTTGAAAGGGAACATTCATTAGTCATCTTGGAGCTGAGAACAATCTACAGTGTACAATTTGACTGCAAGACTTCACATTTCAAGATCCTGGTTTACAATTTTAATGGGCATTGCTGCTTCACCTGACTGCATCAGAGAAAATTATATTTGATCCTTAACTTTTGATACATATGCATATGTCACATACAGAGACATACGCGACATCAAGCACTTCAAGAACAGAACCGTCATTGCTATCAAAGCCCCACCAGAAACAAGGCTGGAAGTACCAGATCCAAAGGAGGTATTGTTATTTACTTTTTTAACCCCTTAATTCTGTAATGGAGCACCAGTTTCTCTATTAAGGTTTCTTTAATAAATTCACACAATGAACTTAATTTTCCTACAGAATATCCAGATCTGGCTGAAGAGTGTAAGAGGTCCCATTGACGTCTACCTCTGTCCAGAGGACCAAGGTAGTCTCCCCTCACCAATGAAGGACATCTCTCCAATCAAACGACCACCACCAGCACCAACCACTCCAAATCATTTCCTCCTGACACCTGAGAAAACCCCTCATGGTTCTGGTGGCTCAGTGATAACGCCAATGCAGAAATTTAATGGGGAGGTACAGAGAAGTATTCCAATGTCATTGATCAGTCCACAGAAAAATCTGTTCTTGCAGACGAATGATGATGCTATTCCTGACGACTTGGACAGTGACACCCTGATTCCTCTTTCACCAAATCTCACAGACGAAGAGTATTTATATACGTTGACAGACACGGAAGGAATCACTGATCTGTTTGATTCATATGAATTCTGGAATGAGGCATGATACATGTCGGTTTCAAGTATGCTTATGTGAATGCTCCTATCAATACAGGTTTGGTTTTATCTTGTAATGGTCAGCAAAAGTTAACATTTTTCAACTGAACATTTGTTTTATTGTAATACTACTTATTATAAGTGTAAATATGATTAGGTAGAAGAGGAATTTTGATCTGCTAACAGGGTACATGTAAGTACCAAGCTAAAAGAATCAGGTAGCTTAAAAGAAATGGTATCTCTAAGCTGTAGGTAAACACAATACCTAACCATACTGTATCATTTTACTTCAGTAAGTGCTGTCCTTAACTGGATTGCTAGCATCACCAATTGACTCTATGCCATATTTTTACGAGTTCAGATTTAATAAGTGATAATAATTTTGTGAGTCTTACAAATTGACATTTTTAATTAACTAGCCTGCATTGCTAAGTCAACATCATGTAAATGTAAAACAAAGCCTGACTAAAAATTACATTTACTTACTAGGAAGTCCTTGATTAAAAGAAAAAATTAGCAGATGTGTTTTTTTTTAACAGCTATGTAAATAGATAGGGCAAAACATTAGAACATAAAGTAAGCCACAAAAAAAAAAAAACTGAGGTAAATGAAACTGATCTTAGCAAACTATGAGAATATTATAATTATTTTAAAATTTAGTAAGCAATTGTTGTGTCTTCAAACAATAGGAAAAAGTAATTACAAGGCATAGCTTGTTAGAATAATTTGGAGTGAAAAATCTGAGTTATTAATAAAAGATTACTGGAAATATACTGTGAAATTATCTCTTAAAAGTATATAGGCTCGTTCAACCCTGAAATATGTCCGCATTTAAAACTTAACAATTTGGTTTGGGTATTTAGCATCGTCAACTTCCACCCCGCCCCACCCCCACCCCAACCCCTTTCTCTTCGTTTTGAGCCATCTCTTCCCATTGCTTACATGTAGATACAATTGATATTATCATTGTAACCATTGGACTTAGATACATACAGTAGTGTATATTAATGTTAATAGCAAAAAACACACCTGGCTATGTGAAAAGGTCAGCCAACTTTTCTTGTCTGTGCACCTTAAAAAAAACTGCCAAGTCAAACTGCACTTATGCTGCCACCCTACCAAGTACAGTCTACATTGATTTGAACTCAGTTATTTTGAATTCCCCATTATTTCAAACTCACAACCGTTACCCTTGGATTTGCTCTTCTGTCATTTCCTATTGGCTATAATTTTTCAAACTGCTGCTAATTTGAACAATTTTTCATTTCCCATTTGAGAGTTCGAAATGGTGGGGTTCAAAGTCTGTATTTCAATAAACACAGGACACTCAATAATTTGTATTATATTTACTTAAACTTTAATGAGATATTTGATTTTCTTGTGTGATAATGTAGACTATGATTTTACTTAAATTAAAAAAAGGAATAAATACGTTGAACTGGAGACTTAAATTCAACACAGCATCATCAGTGACACATCCATGCCCAAATTATTATT